GTGAGTGTGTGTGTGGACTCAAGAGACAAAAAGGAAAAGAAAAAAAAAGAAAAAAATAGTCCTTTCTATCCCTGTAACCATTAGAAAGAAAATGAAGTCCAAATTGCGTTCAGGGCTGCTGGGACAGAGGAGAAGCGAGGATGGAAAAAACAGGCCGTAAACATGCCAGGACTGCTTAAGCAGAAACATCTGTGGAAGTCATGAGACTCGGGGCCCGGTCAGGCTCCTAACAAACCCAGGAAGAGGAGAGTCTGTGCTGGACCAGGACGAGGCTCACCCGCCCGTGCGGGGCCCCCGGGACCAGCAGACATGCGGAGGAGGTACCTTCGCGAGGGCTCTGCGCAGGCCTGGCTTCCAGCAGGAGAGGAAGCCGGAGGAGAGGGAGGAAGAGCCCGTCCCCAGGTTGGGAGGGGCCTGCGGCAGTCCTGGGGGCGGGGATGGGACAGCAAGTATTTGTTTCTGAGCTTTAAACTCACTGGGGTCACTTGGGGAGTCTCAGGTCTTGACTTCTGAGGCTAAAGAAAGAAAGATGAAGGGCGGGGGAGGGGAAGGGCCCATCGCTGACCTGCACAGGAGTGGGGAGGCTGGGCTTGCAAATGGAGGCCCCTCTCTTATTTGTGATTTTCGGCCAAGGCCCCCTGTCTAAGATCCCCTGTCTAAGACCCACGTCTTCTAATGGCCCCAAGAACTGCAGCTAACGAGCACGGACTATACACCTCTCTCTGCACCACGTTCCTTATCAGTATCACCTCATTTAATCCCCCAGCCATCCCACTGTCCCAGAATGGGTAGAGACCTTCGTGGCACCTTCAGGGAGTTTCTTGTCTTAATATTATCATCCCAGAAGGAAACTGAGGCTTAGCAAGTTTCAGTGCCTCACCCAGGTCATCAGCCGGCACATTCCAGGGAACACCCAGGGGCTGGCATTCTTGCTTCTCCCCAAAACTAATTTGAAAAGCGACTTCAGCCAAGCACCGCTGGGAAGCAGCTCTGCAAAATGAACCATTCATGGAGACCTCGAGGTCCCAGCAGGACCCGTTACGTTAGCCCAGGAAAGGGCAGGGAACTCTAGCTACAGAACACACCAACACGGCAGACCGGGGAGTGAGTTGGTATCCCCCACCCCACCCACTTCCCCAACCACGACGGAATCCTATCTTCTCTCCAGGAAATGCAGAGAGGGTAAAAGAAATGAAATCCAGACTCTATACTACTTGCTTGTGGGAAATGGTCAGAGTGCCATTTGTGAGGTTCCGTTACCAAAGTCAGATGCTGTGTCTCCTCTTCGTAGAAGCCCCGCCTCTCCGCCTGGCCCTGCCTGTCCACATTCATTCAGCACCTTCCCCCACAGCTCTCCATCCTTCCCCGAGGGCACTCACCACCCTTATTTCACTTGTGGGGTAGCTGGAGGTGAAAAGCTATGGCTCTTGGCTTCAGAGTTCATGATCAGGGATCTATAAATCCGCAACCCACCCCCCACCCTTGCTGAAAATACAAACATGAAATAGCAAACCCCATGTCCTGGGCAGCTGGCTTGGGGAAACCATGGATACTAATGCTCTTTGAGCAAGCAGCTCTGTGCTGCTAATATTTACTGGGGTTGGCCTGCTGGTGCTTTTATGATAGACAACACCACCTCTGCTTTAAAGTGAGGAAACTGAAGCTCAGAGAGAGGGCTTAATTTACCTAACGTCACACAGTAACTGAGGGTCAGAGCTGGAATTAGAATCCACGAGGCTGGAGACGGAAGCACTCCTCTGTTCCTTCCTGTGCTCCAGTGTGTCTCTGACTCGAATGTGCCTCCAATCACCTGGCCGTCGTGTTATAACACATTCCCTGATCCGACAGGCCTGAGATTCTGCCTGTGGAACCAGCTGCGGGTGATGGCCAGGCTGCAGGCCCCGGACCACACTTTGAGGAGTGAAGATCCACATCCTGCTGCCTTCCTTAACCCACACCTATCTGTGCTGTTGGGCCTAGCACTTCTCTGCCTCTTCGATGACTCTGCCACCAGAGTGGACCAGAAAACCACCTGTGCAGCCCAGTCAGCTGCGCTTAATGATTGTCAATCGTCTCACTCCTCCCTTGTTCCTTGACTGACTGTTGAAAAAACCCCCATCAGCTTCGGGTGAGAAAGGCTGGCAGGTCCTTGAGTGAGGCACAGAGTGGATGACGGTGGAGCCCAGCTGCTCCCCGGGGCCAGGATAAGACTTTGATACGACTCTGTATCTTGGCGTGGGGGGGGATCTATGTGATGAAGTCTCCCCAAGTTGGCCTCTCCCACGAGCTGACAGGAATTTCCTGCTCAGACCAGCAGAGGAACTCAGTTTGCTCCTCCAGGGCCAAACTTGGTGGGAAAAGGAACACCAGCACGAAGGCAGGGACAGCTTTGTCTGAGCCCACATGCCTTGGGTTCCTGGTTCAGCTCCAGTTGCAGCTGGGGAGGGCTTTCTCTGGCTTTTTAGTTTAGTTTTAGCTTTGAGTACAATCTCTAAGGAGGGCTAGAGTGACCTGCATTCCACAGAAAGGAGAGGCTGGGAGCGGCTGGGGCTCAGGTCTGCTCAGGAGCACAAAGACATCCCAGAAAACCCAGCCCCTGCCATCCATCCCCTGACAACTCTCTTTCAACAGACATCACCAAGGGCCTCCTGCACGGAGGTGCTGGGCTGACGCTGGCATGCGGCAGAGACCAAGACTCCCTGGCTGTGGCCCCACGGAGCTCACAGCTAAAGGGAGCCGATTTTTAAGCAGATAAGTGGAGTTCTATGGAGTAACTGCTGAAGCATCTGCAGTGCTGGGGTGACAGGCTCTGGGGGCTCATTCCCTACCTGGCCGTGCTGATCACACAGCTTGGCTCTCTCCTCCCCAAGGTGAAACCGTCACCTCTTTGGGTGAACTTGCCCACTCTCACACTGCCTTGCAATTGTGGGCCTCCCTTTCTCCCCTGGCCAGCTTCCACCTCCCCGACACTACCCTTTTAGAACCCCCTGGACACCTTGGTGAAAACCAGAGACACTCACGGGTCTGTGCTTCACTGGGCATCTGGAACTTATCAGCACGGTGACTGGCAAGGTCGTTCCTTGGGAACTCTGCAAATGTTTGCCTTGGTCAAGAATAAGTGTGTGTGTGTGGAGGGGAAAGGTCAGGTCAGGCAGAGAGGAGACAAGAGTCAAGGCTGGGTGTGCAAAACGGAGGAGGAACTGGAACTGGGGTGCTGCTGCAGCCTGGTTACCCCAAACTCATTACCACCTAGCCTCCAATAGTCCCGGGATCAATCAACACCCTTGGAACAGGATGATTGTGTTTCTGTCTCTCTATGCTAGCCTGAGAGAGTTAGACTGAGTTAGTCTCCCCACTAATTATCTTCTTTCCCCAAGGCTAGGAGGTGTGGGGCCGAGGGGGGGATTTAGAGGAAGGCTGATGGCAGCAGATTCACTATTAAAGGAAAGGCATAATGCGTTGAGGATGCTTTGCAGGGAGCGAGGGGATCTGTAGCAGATGAGCTGTTGCCTTGGTGACGCTAATTAAAAGCAGACCTCAGAGAGGTCCAAGAACCCTGTGGGCTGAGTTATCTCCCCCCTCTGCTGCTCCCCTCGCCTCCCCACCACCAGCCTCAGATCAAACTCCCCGAATATTTATAAAGTCTCTACCAGAAACAGGGAAAGTCAGCCACCCAGCCAGGCGTCTGCCCACGTTCTTCCGGAGCTGCTCGGGTGACACAACGTGGCTCATTATTCTATTATACTTCCTTGCAGTGAGCAGGGCAACCAGAGAGGGGGGGAGAAGAGAAAAGTGTTTGCTCTGCCCTATTCCAGCTGCTTTTGAATTGGGGAGTTTACTTGGAGTTTAGGGGCCTTATTTTGGGCAGGTCACCATGTCCCTAGTACTCCCTGCTCTTCTGTCCCCAGTCTGTTTTTATCTTGCTCTCATCCTCTGTTAAAGCTGGGCCCCTCTACTCGGTTACTCCTTGGCTGTGTGCTCAGCCCCTTTCCCACTGTGGCCCACTAGCCTCCCGCCTGGGGCTTCTCGTCAGCCCCGTGAAGGTCGGAGGTGAGGCTTGCTAAGATGCTCTCTGGGCTTCCAAAGTCAAACTGTAAGGGATTATGGAATCGGCAGTCAGAGGAGCTGGCCCTCTGCCACGGTGGAGTAGGAATTGGGCTTATTCTTTTTGAATTAAAAGAGGTACAGCAGGAAATCAGAGCTGGTCTGAGAAAATCTGGGTGACCTCTGGTAACCACTTTTTTGCTGGGTGTTTATTAAAACCAACAGCAAGGAACTTGAAAAACTTAGGTCTACAGAAGGGGGCTGCAGCTCTGCACTCTCTCCCGCCAGCAAACAGGGGCACCGTCTGCCCAGCTGAGTATATCACGTGATTGCAGCTCATGACGGCCCCATCCTGTGGGTGACATAGTGTAGAGACGCAGCAAGAGGCTGTGGGGCAAGTCCTAGGTTGGGTTAAAAGAGCTGAGTGTAATTTTAGCAGTTTCAGCTTGGGTAAGTCATGAAACCTTTCTCTTTTGGTTTCAGAAAATGAGGGTTGGACTAGATGGTCTTTAAGATCTCTTCTAGTCCTATGATTTCTGTGTAACAAGGAAAGAACACTAATGCCGTATGATGTAAGTACTACACGAATGTAATTCATGGGCCA